GGGTATTAGAGTGTAAGCTCCTCTGGTGCAGAGATAAATTCTTGCACCAGGGCCCTTTTTTCTTTAGGTCCGCCACTGATGGTTGTGCACAGTTTTGACATCTTCATAACAGAGTTTCACATAGTAGGCCATCACCTTCTGAGCTCCACTGAACCTTACAGCCTCATTTGAGCCCTTTGCAACGGTTCCAACACTGGTCTTACCTTACGTAGAGTGAGATGGGCACCACGGTATTTAAGATAATGACGTACGACCAGAACATTAGGAACCCCGAGAAGGCAGCATTGTGCACGCCTTCTGCCCATGGGAGAAACACCTGGAAGTAATAGCCTTGCTTGGATTCCCAAATCCCATTGCCGATAGCCAGGATGATGCACATGACAGCCAAGAAGACAAAGATCTGCAGAGAAATGGAAAGTCGTGTTGAAGGATCTTTATTTCCTGAGCTAGAACAGCGTTTCCCAAACCAACCCTCCACCCCGCAGCCCATCTTCAGTAGACATCCACACAAGTAGCTACATGCTGAGACACTCATTTACTGGTTTCCAAGCTGCAACCATAGGCAGCCCTTTTGATACGTATTGTGGGGTTCTGCAGTCAGAAGTCTGCTATTTCCCTACCTAGGTGCTGTACACTTTTTATGGTTTTTCCAGGTACGGGAAACGTCCAGAATTGTTTTATGTGTAAAGAAGTTTTAAGGTGATGTTTTATATACATCGATCAGCCATAACATTATGACCATTCGCCTGATATTGAGTAGGTCCCCCTTTTCCTGACCCGTGGAGTCATGGACTCCACTAGACCTCTGAAGGTATGCTGTGGTATCTGGCACCAAGCCGTCAGTAGCAGATCCTTTTAGCCCTGTAAGTTGTGAGGTGATCGGCCTCCATGGATCGGACTTGTTTTTCCAGCACATCCCACAGATGATCGATTGGATTGAGATCTGGAGAATTTGGAGGCCAAGTCAACATTATGACCATTTGCCTGATATTGAGTAGGTCCCCCTTTTCCTGACCCGTTGAGGCATGGACTCCACTAGACCTCTGAAGGTACGCTGTGGTATCTGGCACCAAGCCATCAGTAACAGATCCTTTAAGTCCTGTGAGGTGATCGGCCTCCATGGATCAGACTTGTATTTCCAGCACATCCCACAGATAATCGATTGAGATCTGGAGAATTTGGAGGCCAAGTCAACACCTCAAACTCA